ATGCTAACCTTGCTGAATGCAAGTGCGATGAATGTCAACAAAAGTATGCATTGAGCGTTGCAATCACAGGCCGCTCACTTACCATTTGCAGAATCGATCTGTCCAGTCCGAATAACATCTATAAGCACAGCCACAACAGCTTTGTCATGTCGTTTGGTCAGAATGCGTGGCGCGAAATCGTGAAACAAAGTTGGAAGGAATGCAACAACAAGCCCGTCAAAGACATTGACCTGGAAAATAGAGAGCTCCTGTCAAAGTCTGATTTTCGATGCTCACTATGCGGGTCCGGTAAGTAGGTAGGCTACAACAATAATGCAATGACACTAAGATTGCATTTAGGTTTCCTAAACCTTGCCAAAATACATATTTGCCTTACCTGTATCATAACATATTGCTCTAGCTGCTTTGAAGAGGGCCCCGGAAAAGCCCATGAGCACGGATGCACGGCCCTTTACATCAACTGCCAAGAGCCGCCTAACAATCTACATCAACTGCCGCAGCAAAATTATCAGCAGAACTGTTTTATCTGCAAAGGTGAGTGGGCACGCTAGGAATTGTAATCTTTTCATGAGGCTCATCACGTAATAGAAACTATTAACCTGTGGCGTGAGCAGAACCTCACTTGCACCTCCTGCAAGAATTGGTTTGTCTGTCCCAGCTGCATCATGGAAAAAGGCTCTACCATCCACCATGACTGCTCCGAAGTACTCACGCCAAACTTAATTTTCGATGATACCTATCCTATGGACAGGCAGTGGTGGTCACGAGAAACCGTTCTTCTCGCTAGACAAGTGAACTTGAATATAATGCCCCTTGCATTTGTTATTGCTACCACGCGTTTTGACAAGAAAGACGCCGAAGACATGAGCGTCCGCTTTGGCGACAGGATCATCGTGACCGGCTATCCCAAGTACGATAATTGGTACTATGGAAGGAATGACTGGAGTGGTCAGACAGGAGTGTTTCCAAAACCCTGTGTTCAGGTTGATGAAGACGCAGTTAAATTTGCTCAAGAGTATGATTGGCTTCAAACTGAGGAACAGTTGATTGCTTCTAGGGAACGTGAAATGCAGCACAAGGAAAAGAAGTTGGAGTTTTGGGGCAAGGCCCTCCAGTTCGGAGCGGCAATCTTGTCTGGAGGTGGAGATAGTTGAGCGCTAGTTAAGAATGGTAGGGCAAATTTTAAAAGATATTAGTTACGGTGAGACATCTGCACTTGATTTTTTAGATGTTTCTCGAAAATTCATCATGGATGTACACCCTGCCAACACCCCTAAGACTCCCAGAGTCATATCGCTCCAACCGAACCTGTAAGTGAATTGGATAAAGAAACACAGTGACTAACTGCAGTGACATCATCAGAGCTGGAAATAGACTGGAATGTGAGTGATTCGCTCTATGATTGTCCTTTCATAAGGCTCGGGGAAAAGAGGTGAAATATGGTGACTGAATGTTGCTACTAATCTTCTATCATTGGGATGGAGTCGTCGCAATCATTACCACAATAATACCATATTGAGTTAAATGCTATGTAAGATGAATGTATTTAATATTCCTCCTTTAGTTCCTCTCCTGGGCTTTTTCTATCGCGTCTATTTGCTGTTATTTATAATGGACATGGAAGTGATATCATGAGCGGGAGGGCCGGAATCATGCTTGCAACATTGTAGCTGAACCTTTCATTGTAGGATCTTACCGTGGCCAGACAAAGAAGGGACATGATGTTATGTATTGATTAAAACGCTGTATAGCTATGCAAATACAGGAATTATGATATTCTTGTAGAACGCTTAATACGTTTTCCCATCTGCCCCTTGGCTCACCACCCACGGGCGGTGGTCTGTCAATAGGCATAAATGTTCACCGTCCCTGACCCAGTACAGAGGCCTGGGGCCGGTTCAGGCAGTGTGTGATCCGCAGTAACCGGCGTCCGAAAGTACCGAGGTAGGTTGCCTCATAATCGAGTGCAATAGAGCTGATTGGAATGAGCGGAAGGGAAGCAGGCTGCTCAGATCGTGCTAAGCATCTAGATTTCAGCAGAATAGCTGTCCACTTTGGGTACACACAGCAGCGCTCTTGGTATCCTCTCTTTCTTCGGCAGAGCAAGAGGTGAGACTGGGGCAAGGCATCCAGGAGGTCTGTCATAAGTATATGCCTTGGGAGGTGGCAATAGCCTAGGCTCATCAGACCATAGAGTGCCAGTCCACTATGTTAGGAACACTTTTCCTCATTCTGGCATATTAATAATATCTTCAGATTCTATCACTTCTTTGAGAGGAAGAGACTCCCACGTCTAGTAATTAACAGCAAAAGGTAGAGTAAGCCCAAACTTATTTAAAGGCAGAGGGCGGTATATTCTCCGCCATAACTCAGCAAGCAACATGTAGTTATATTTGATCTCAGTGAAGCGGAGGTGGTGATATCTGTCGTACCAGACCAAGAAGACCGTCTTACCATCCGTGACTAGAAACAGGTGCGATTGGGGGTCGGCCACGTTATCCTTATTATCATACCAGGTGTATTGGTTACTGAGATCAAAATCCCAACCTGGACTTGCGTCAACCGTGTCCATCACACCCCACCTGGTAAAGATGCGTCCATTCGGGTCAGTGTAAGCGACGATCACGGGATGCTCCAGGGCCTATCGCGGCGGGAATAGTGCGAGTTTGTGAGCCCGGAATACTGCTCATTGAAGTCCAGCAGTCAGCCGGGAACTGGTAATATGGCCGGTCAGAAATGATGTTCTTCTTCCGCGGGGTTGCAGGCCTTCTGGTGCCGAAGCCTTGTCCTTGTCGATCCAGGGTATCGCAACATTGATAGCTGAAGTGAAGAAGTTGGCCCACATTGCCTGTACTGGCTGAAAGGTGGGTGACACAAGTATGTCATGACATCGCACCGTCCTATTCACCTGTCCTAGACGTCCACCATATAGAGCCCAGGGCTGATCGTAAAGGGCTCTGGGTAGGGCCCGTGGTTTATACTAGACACTGACCAGCCGTAGGGCAGGCGCCTCGACACATTGCACCCAAGGCTCTCATACAAACTCATTGGTGATGTCTTCGCCTCCGAAGACATCTCCGAGGTCAAAAATATTGCGCGGAAAACGTGGTAGGTATTATAGGTATTTTGAACCTTATTATGATGGTAAGAAAAGTATATTTAATTGGTTGTTCGCATTATTATTGACTTACTTTGGGATTTTCCCATCTGTTCTTCGCCCTTTGCCGTTGCCTATTCCGTGGCTAATAGTCAAGAGTCAGCGAAGATAAAGCAAAATATAGGCAGGGGCCTCCTCTCGCCCGTCAGAGAGACATGAACCACAGGATGTGTGCCAGAGATCAGAAAAATATCGCTGGAACTAAACCACTCGTCGTCACCTGTACGTATTATCAGATCCTCGTCCTCATCCACTGTACGCTCGTAAGACCAGAGTCCACAGCCACCGTGACGAACTCGAAGTCTCCTTCATTGGTGCCCAGGTCCGGAAGCACGTATATATTGTTATCTCCAGCGAACCACAAGCATTGTGGGCCGGAAAACCCGAAGAGGAAGATAAAATTGAGTAGCACAATACTCCGAGCTGGGGCGAGACAAGGGCAGTAGCACATTGGGGCGGTCACCCTGTGTTGGGTAACCATTCCTCTATGCAAGTTATTGACGTTATCGTCAAGCACCAGGAGTTGCTGCTGTCCATCTGGGAATAGAGCAAGGTCAGACTGCTGACACCTTCGTTGAAGGACAGTGTAGCCTATGATAACATCTCCATCCTGACCGGTGCTGCCTTGGTCTTCATCGCTGTTGTTGTTCACGACTGTGAGCACATGTTGCATGAATAGTTCTATCGAAAGAGGGAAATATTTTCATCGCGGTGGAACATGGCTTGTGGTGCAAAACTGTCGGCATGGTCAAGCGACAGTCTAATAATGTCTAAATACTGATGATTTACTTTAGCACCTGCTTGGTTGTAAATGTGACGCCGTCAATCGTGTATGGGGTCTCCATAGTTGACGGATCTTGGTGGGTCGGCTTGTTGATGCGTATAGAAGGAAGAATTCAAGTGGGATGGCTTGGAAGCATCGACAGACACTGAAGAGTTCTATCGGTACTGGCGGCTGTACTTCCTGCGACAGCATCAAACCGGGGCCTATCGTTATCTCTTACAATGCTTCAGCGTCCGACTGATGACCCTCTGCGTTCTCAGCCGTCCAGAACCTCCCAGCCGTGTCAATGTCCGTCCTGGTGTCTGAGCGACGATGCAGTTCTACAGAGAGGCAGCCGCTGAGCACGCTATCCAGTTGCCTTTGGTGGCTGGCTCGATTTCAGCTCGGCATATCTGTTGTTCTATAGCAGCAGCTGATCCTGGGAATCCTGGTGCTAACTGCGGAAGAGATTAAGGTTTGCCCTATACGAACAGGGTGGCCATTCATGGTCCTTGGAGCTCCGGCTGAAAATGCGAGTTCCTGCCTCAGCAGCCGTGTGATTTGCTTTGTTGGACGTAAAAAAAAAGAAACCATACATCCGGTTATCTGAGGAAATATAACCCGACGAGTGCAATTGAATTCTTGGCTACATCGGATTGTTTGCTTACTTGTTACTGGACGACGGTGCGCGACGGCCGTGCCAAACCTCGTCAAAAAGTTTAACCTGTCGACAAAATTGCACCTGGAGACCTGGACATAGGCCTCTGGCTGAAGTTTGACATGTCCAGAAAATGCTCAGGCATGCAATTCTCAGCCAGCCACATGTTGCTGACGGGTTTTCTGTTCCTTCGTCTTACCCAGAGGTAGTCGATTATGAGGAGCCCTGGTCTAGCTTACAACATGGTAAGAGGATGACTTCCACTATATAAAAGCGCTCAAAGGTCGCTCCAGATCCTCACTTCGTCCAAACTACAGCAAAGCCTTCAATCCGAGGAAGTTTCAAACTCACATTCAAATTTCGAATAGTTATTGCTCTCATAATCGAGAGTGGACGATATTAGCTACTTTTTTCTTTGAACCATGGCGGTCCTTGATCTCGCAAACTGGATGAAGTACCTGGATCCCAGCGTACCCGTGATTGATTCTTACATCGCCTGCAGCCACGATGCGTCGGCCTATAAATTCGAAGGAGGCAACAATGGAATGCATGAGTCTACTGGCAGTATCTGCCAAATCGCGGATTACACCGGCCAGCTCCTGGCCGGGTCTCGATGGTTCGATATGCGGATCACCCGCGAGGGGAGCACCCTGGTGATGAAGCATGGTCCCATCACGTTCCAACCCTTTGAGACGGTTCTTCGTCAAATAAAAAGCTTTGCTGATTCCCATAAATCCGAATTTCTTTTCCTTGATCTCGATTTTGACTATGGTGATCATATCGCAGCCGACGTTCTCGCCATGTTGATCAAGGTCCTTGGAGACGGTAAAGAAGATGCATTCGCAACCGCGCACGTCGGCCCTGACGGCAAAATGTACAACACGGATCTCACCTGGGCTAAGCTGCGGCAGGACGGGAAACAATACATTATCATCTGGGGCGAAGACGAGAAGGTTAACGGTGGGATGAAACCCCACGACAGCGGCAAGCTGTGGGCCCCACAAGCCAGAAATATTCGGGATAACTGGGAGGATGACTACCCAAATAAATCGCCAGAGGAAATTGTGGCGTGGCTCGATGAGGCGCTGGGTCTGTGGAAGAGGGAGAGGCTTTGGATAACCCAGCTCGTCAATACACCGAAGCGGTCCTATCTGCCGGGTCATCACCCTAGCGACTGTGATCAGAGAGCAGCGCCGGTCTTCAATCAATGGCTCACCAAATTCAAGAATGGTGATCGGTTGGGTATCGTCAAGCGCGACTTCGTCAATGAAGGATGGAATGAGGCCGGCATCTCCTACGTTATCCGTTTGAACAAGTTTGCCCAGAGCCCTGAGATCCCTCTGGGTCCAACCATCAACTATCTGAGCTATATTCGGCTCAGGGCGCCAGACGGGCGTTACCTCGCCGTGGACACCAATCCTCCCGGCAACACAAACCTCAGCCTCGTGACCCTGGTGTACGGGCAAGCGGACAATACTCGTTTTCTGATCCGGGAGCGTCGGAAGAATTCAGCCTGGGAATGGCCGTTAAGCGGCAATCCGGACGCCGACTCTTGTGGCGCCAACGGCAATGTCCGCCTTGCTCATGTCGACAGCCAGATCGGCGACGATACTGTGGTGTCCTGCGCGAAGAAGTCCGGAGGATTTATGTACTGGGGTGTAGGCTGGGGTAGGGCAGATGACTGGGAGACATTCCTTCCATACGACCCTGCCAACCAGAAAAGCAGCTTTGCGATCCACGAAGGCAGTACTATTGTCCTTCGCACTCTGTGGCACATGTACTGGAAGGCAGGCCAAGATGAAAATGACTATACGAGACTCTATGCAAGCGCTGGACCTATCGAAGACGCCACGCGGTTTGTGGTAGAGAAGGCATGATGCTTGGAAGTAGAGAGCCAACCGTCTACCACACAGCACCAGATGATTGAATGTGTAGTTCTCATGTTTCCTCCCCGTCATTTCTATAGTCTCCTTGAAATTCCTGAGCAAGCAATATTCTTTAAGTATGCTAGGCCGATGAATCTGTATTTCTTCTGATTTTTCAGGCAGCTTATCATTTAACAGGACGCTCTATTTTGTCAATGCTCTAGTACATACTAAACAATGGAAACCATTGTCGCCTACTCTTCATCATGAAAAGTAAGCTTAACTGCACTGAACCACTTTAATCTTTGTTGCATTGGAAAGTCCTTAGTCGGGGCAACCAGCATAAACCCTGCCGTCTCAACCATTCCCTTCCTACAAGTATTTGACATGTAGAGTATGGCTACCTACGCAGACATCGTTCGACTGTCTTTGAGTCTAGAGACCCTCTGTGTTGGTTATCGCTTATAATCACTGAGTTCAAGTTGGAGCTAGATAGCGTAGGTCTAACCTAGTGAACGGTAAAAGGGCAGTTAGGACTTAGGTGGCAAAGGCTCAATTGGCCACTCATAGTCTCTAGTGAAGTTCGTCTCAAAGACCCAGTCTCCTTGGCCAATAGTCTCCCTCTTCTCCCCTTCTCCATCGGGAAGAATAACATCGCAGATCGTACTATACGGAACCGACACCTCCAACCGCAATCTCTCAGTTCCATTCCCATTCTTATACGACTTCCACGAACACGAAAGCAACCCGAACGGCGTGACATGCTTTGCAGCAGCATTAGAGATTTCCGCTCCAATTTCTGGAGCAACGCAGAACCTTTTCCAACCAGGCTCAACCCGTCGCAACCCAGCAACGCGTTCATACATGAACTTCGCAATCGCGCCGAAGGCATAGTGATTAAATGAGGTCATTTCTCCAGGGTTAACCGATCCATCAGGAAGCATACTATCCCACCGTTCCCAGACTGTGGTCGCACCCATGGTGACTGGGTATAGCCAGGACGGACATTTCTCCTCAAGTAGCATGGCATACGCGACCTGGGTGTTCCCAGTCAAGGCCAGTGCCTCACAGACATAGGGGGTCCCAGCAAAGCCAGTACCGATTTTAAACTCGTTCTTCCGGACTAAGTATGCTAGTCGGCCGCCCGCGTGTTTTCTTTGACTCGGATTTAACAGGTCAAAGTAGATGGCCAAGGCGTATGCAGTCTGGGAGTCAGAAACGACGCGTCCATTCGCAGTGACGTATTCGTCTTGGAATTCTTTTCGGGCGGCCTCGGACCAGGAGACAAAGTGCGATTTATCAGTATCTTGCCCTAGAATCTGAGAGATCCTGCACATCAAGTCCAGGCTATGGATGAGGAAGGTGTTTGCGACCATTTTCGCGTCCGTGGCGCCCTTCCACGGGGCGTTGGGTGGTGCAGCAGGATCCAGCCAGTCCTAACTTATTAGCTTCATATATCAATTGGGTTGGGGGGGAAAAAAAAAACTTACTCCAAGGTTGAAAACACTCGTGTCCCACAAGTGAATAGCTCCAGTGGTATCCCGGGGGACCTTCCGCATCCAAGTCAACATACTGTTATACTGCTGCGCGAGGATACTCTCATCCCCCGTCTCCTCGTACAACGCCCAAGGCGCAAGAATTGCAACATCATGCCAGATGGCACAAGGGACGCGTCGACACCAGACTAGATCGGGAAGCGTTGCATTAGGGGTGACCATCGCGGGCACTCCACCCAGAACACCCTGGTCATACTCTACGTCGATCAGCCAGTTCTTTAAAAAGTTGAAACAGTCATAGATGAGCACCGCCGTAGGAGCAAATAATGCCAGATCACCCGACCAACCGAGTCGTTCATCGCGCTGGGGACAATCCATGGGTACGGAGAAGAAATTCCCGCGCATGCCCCAGACTACGTTCTGGTAAAGCTGGTTAAGTAGCGGATATGAACAGGAGAATCCGCCCACGGGCTTCATATCTGTGTGGCAGACGATTGCTTCGGCGGATGTCTCCAGCTCCTCCCCAGTCCAGTTGTCAATCTGCGCGTAGCGGAATCCGTGGAAGGTAAATCTTGGGGCATACTCCTCGCCTTGGCAATCGCCCCTGAGCGTATACTCATCAATAGCCTTGCAAATTCGAAGCGGTCTTGTACAGAGCTCTCCGTCTTCGAGAACCTCGGCGTGAGATAGAATTATCCTGTGCCTGGGGGGACCCTTGATGTTGGATAGCTTGACATAACCCACCAAGTTCTGGCCAAAGTCGAGTATGACCTTTCCAGACGAGGTAACAATTTTAGACACAGGCTTCCGTGCTTCAATCCGCCTCACGGGCTCTCCAAACCCGGCAGTAAGCTTGACAGAGTCGGGTAAATGTGGCATGACAAGAACGGTGGACCAGCCAGGAGCATCTTGAGAGATCCCAGCTGAAGACCAAGCGGGAATTTCCATAGTAGCATCATATTTTTCCCCATCATATATCTCCGCCAGCCGGATTGGCCCTCGCGTGACGCTCCAAGAGCCGTCTGATGTAATAGTCTGCACCGCCCCATCCTTCGATGTCACTTCCATCTGGACCAGCAGCGCCGTATGAGAGCCCCAGATATTGCGATGCCCACCTTCAAAGCCGATGCGGCCAGAAAACCATCCCTCTGCAACACGAACACCGATACAGTTGTCCCCAGGCGAGAGATACTCCGTGATATCGTAGGTTTGGTACTGCAGTCTCCCATCGTATGTTGTCCACCCGGGAGCGAGGAAGTAGTCGCCCACACGGCGACCATTGATCTCCACTTCGTATGCGCCTTGGGCGGTAATATAAAGACGGGCATTGGCAATACAGTCCGCGGGCCTGAACTCCCTGCGATACAACTGCTCCGTATCAGGTTCCGAAGTACCTGGCCCCCATGGAGCCGCGATGCGCTCGCACCTCCAATCACTCCGACTGAGCAGACCAACTTCTAGAGACGCGGGCTCGCTCCATTCCGTACCATGGCCATCCAGATCCCAGGCTCTGACCCGGATAGCCACCTTCTGGCGGGATGACAAAGGCTGGGAATGTGGCCAGGGGACGAGATACGATGAGGGTGATGACCGCTTGGTAGATGAGAGAACAGTGGCCTGCGAATTCCAATGCACTTCCGAGACCTCGATTTCGTATGCATCCTGTTGGAAATCACGTGGATAATCCTCAAACTGCCAGGATATCCGTGGACGAGTCTCCTCCACCCCGATGGTGTTTGGGGGATGATAGTGCTCAAAGTGGACGTTGGCAATGCGCGTCATGATCGAGAGCGAGTGCTTAGCAAGGATGATCTTTCAGCGGGTCGGCTCCTTATTTCTACGATTTCGGGGAAATTAACACGAGACCCATTCATAAGTTCTCAGAATCGGGGTAAGTTGGAAAGGAGACTGGAGTATGGTCGGTGCATCTTTATCCCAAGGACCGATCCGGCAATTGATTCTGGGTAAAGGTACGGGTCTATATGTCCAGACTCCTGGCTAGCCTACGCTGGCGACACTTTTAGACTGAGCACAACTTCGAAGTCCAGGACAGGATGACCGACAAAATGAACGTCAACATGTTCAAAGCAGAGGATCCCAATTTCCATCCGTTTGCCTCGACGGAACCCCCCTACGATCCCCTCCCAGCTATTGAAAATCTCCCTCTCCCATCCAATTTCAGATGGGGAACAGCAACAGCAGCCTACCAGATCGAAGGCGCTCCCTCAGTGGAAGGAAAAGGCCCGTCAATCTGGGACACCTTCACCCATCTGGTTCCATCCCGCACAAATGGTGAGAACGGTGACATAGCCTGCGACCACTATAACCGCATGCTCGAAGACGTCAACCTCATGTGCTCGTACGGCGTCGACGTGTATCGATTCTCCATCGCCTGGACACGAATCATACCCCTCGGTGGACGGGATGATCCCCTTAACGAGGCGGGGATAGCCTTCTATAACCGACTCATCGACGCTCTTTTAGAACACAACATCGAGCCTGTGGTAACGCTCTATCACTGGGATGCTCCTCAGCGCCTCAGCGACCGATACGGCGCTTTCTTAAATACAGCCGAATTCGTATCTGATTTCGCACATTTTGCGCGCGTCTGCTTCGCCCGGTTCGGGGATAGGGTTAAGAGATGGATTACATTTAACGAGCCTTATATCATTGCGATCTTTGGACATCATAGTGGTGTTCTTGCGCCGGGCCGGAGTACTGCCACTGGTGGTGATTCCCGTACGGAGCCGTGGAGGGTCGGGCATAGCCTGATCCTTGCTCATGCCGCTGCTGTACGTATCTACTCTGGGGATTTCCATTCCCAAGGTGGGAGCATCTCGATCGTGCTGAATGGGCACTATTACGAGCCCTGGGATGCGTCTAGCCTGGTTGACCAGGAGGCCGCGCAACGCCGTCTTGAGTTTTACATTGGGTGGTTTGGCGACCCGATCTTCTTAGGGCGAGATTATCCACCGGTCATGCGAAAGCAATTAGGCGATCGATTGCCAACCTTCACTCCTAGGGAGCTGGAACAGCTGAAGCATCTCGCCCCGCTCAACGCCTTCTACGGAATGAACCACTACTCCACCAAATTCGCCAGGGCTCTCCCCGACCCTCCGGCGGACGACGACTGCACGGGAAACGTGGAAGAACTCCCCACAAACTCCCAAGGAAAAGCCATCGGCCCCGTCTCAGGGATGTCCTGGCTGCGGGTTGCGCCTGAGGGGTTCAGAAAGCTGTTGAACTGGGTCTGGAATCGGTATAAGTTGCCTATCATTGTTACGGAGAATGGGTGTCCTTGTCCGGGGGAGAGCCAAATGTCCCTGGAGGAGGCAGTGGATGATGAGTTCCGGATCACATATTTCGGATTGTATCTCGATGCGATTTCGCGAGCCATCTATGAGGATGGGGTTCTGGTTGAGGGATACTATGCGTGGAGTTTGATGGATAATTTTGGTATGCTCCTCGCCTCCACTTACCGATTACTCCGTCTGACAATTCGTTATCCAGAATGGT